TATATGAATATGCTTAGTAGTCACCCAATTATCCATGCAACCCTTAGTTCACATAGCAGTGGTACCTACTCTGAGGATAGTCCTTCAGTGAAGAGGGCTATTAAAGTTGATGCCGAGGCAATTTCACCAAGCAAAAAAAGAAGAAGAAAGCAATTGCTAAAACGAAAATGCCATCAACACTTATAGATAAGGCTCCAAACATTAGGGGTGTGCCTAACATGTATTAGAATGCAAGGCGTGATGATGTTCTAATCTCTAGTGTTGCTCAGTTGGTGAGGGATAATCTCAAAGTTTATAATAACTTTAAAATGAATGCATACAAGGTGGCTGCTCAAGAGGTAAACAAGCAGTGTGGAGCTGAATTCACCAAGGAAAATGTGATGAACTATATGAAGAGCTTGAAGACTAAGTTTTATGATATTCAAACTATCATGAACATGAGTGGTGTCGGATGTGATCCAAAGACAAAAATCGTGACCATGGACCCAGATTCTTTTTATATGTGGACAAAAGTATTGATTGATATTTTGAATATTTATCCGCATTATTTCTATATTTACATATTTATCATGCATTTTTCCTTATATTAGTTTACTATACAGGACAATAAATACAATAGCTTTAAGTTAAAGGAGTACTTGAACACGCCTCTCACTCACTATGATGATTTATGTGTCATTGTTGGTGATGACCAAGCAAGGGAAAACTTGGCAAAAGATATGTGTAAGAAACTTGGTTTTAGTCGGCCTCTTGAATTTTTAGAGGAGCCAATAAACCTTTCTGAAAATGATAATGATGAGGCTCCCAACACACATTTTGAGACTGAGATACCAAGTGTAGAAAAGATCAACACTCAGTCTCAAAATGTGAATTCGAAGTCATCTAGTGGTGTAATTTCTATATCCAATGTCAAATCTCAATCCAAAAAGAAGAGTCACAAGGGTAAAGATAATGATTCACTAACGCGTGATCTCATCGAGTCCATGTCCTACTCAATTCAAAATCAACGTATTTTATATTGGAGTGAGAGCATGACCAAGGCTTTATTAGCACATGAGGCTAATTTCTCTGAGACAATACTGGATAAAGTTCTTGATTATTTGTATGACAATGAATCAGAATCTAGGAGGTTCATTACAGAAAAAAATGCAAAGAAACTTTTTATAGAGAAGATTATCTAGGAAAATGGATTTGACAAAGAGGGTTGACGGATGTGTGAAGTTGTTTCCTCCACCTTTTGCCATGTAACAATAACTAATTAATCTCCATACTTTTGGTGTTTATGTAAAGCTGCAATAATGCAGCCTATGATATTATGGTTATGACTTTGCTTTTATTTTGTTGACAGAACTGCTGTTTACTTTTATAAAACTGTTTATGATCAAGTTATGATCAGATTATAGTCTTTTGGGCTTTTTGTATTATTTTGTGTGCTCTGTGGTTATTACCAGAGTGGTACTGGCTTATTTATGAACACTTTCAGCTTAATGTTTGCTTCAATTTGATACATGAGTGGTTATGACCAGGTTGTGCCCAGATTATGAGCACTTTCAGCTCAATGTTTGCTTCAGTTTCAGGTCTATTGTTTAAACTAGGTTGGGCAAAATATTATGAGCAGTTTCAGCTTAATGTTTGCTTCACTTTCAGCTCTATGGTTATTTTCAGGCTATGATCAGATTATGATCTTTTGGGCTGTTTTTATTATTTTATGTGCTCTGTGGTTAGTACTAGAGTGGTGTTGACTTATTTATGAACACTATGAGCTCAATGTTTGCTTCAACTTAATACATGCGTGGTTATGACCAGGTTGTGCCCAGATTATTAGCACTTTCAGCTCAATGTTTGCTTCAGTTTCGGCTCTATTGCTTAAACTAGGTCAGGCAAAATATTATGAGCAGTTTCAGCTTAATGTTCGTTTCACTTTCAGCTCTATGGTTATTTTTAGGTTATCATTAGATTATGATCTTTTGGACTGTTTGTATTATTTTGTGTGCTTTGTGGTTATTACCAGATTGGTGTGTGCTTTGTGGTTATTACCAGATTGGTGCTGGCTTATTTATGAGCACTTTCAGCTTCACGTTTGCTTCAATTTAATACATGAGTGGTTATGACCAGGTTGTGCCCAGATTATGAGCACTTTCAGCTCATGTTTGCTTCGGTTTTAGCTTTATTGTTTAAACTAGGTTAGGCAAAATATTATGAGCAGTTTTAGCTCAATGTTTGCTTCACTTTCAGCTCTATGGCTATGATCAGGTTGTGCTCAGATTTAGGTAAGTTGAGCTCAAATTTTGAGTTATTTTCAGCAGATTATGATCAGTTTTCCTACTTGCTAAGGGGATGTTTTCATCTCTTTATTATGTGCATGTTATTAGCTTTGGTTCCTACGATGCTATGATTTGAGATACCAAGTTATAAAGATAGTAATCTACATACTTTGGTGTATTGGTATGGCTATCTTTCTTAACTTTGGTTTCTCATCTGAGCAGAAAATTAGACTGTGTCACGATGCAACTGTGTCATGATGCAACCATATTCATAAGTTATTTGGGTTTTTTGCATTAGGCAATGATGATTGGTCATTTTTGTTAATGCAGCCTCTATAATGATTTTATTATTTAGATGAGGAAACCATGATAAGAATTAACACAATCTGAATTGCGCATGCAATTTTTAGATGATGCAACCATTATGTGTAGGCAATCTATAATACAATTACAATATTTAGGCGAGACATTGTATACAGATAATATGACTTTAATTTGAGCCTCATGCTCTGTTATGCAATCATGAAAATTTTATTTCATATCTCAATGCAATTTACAGCTACATGACATATTTTTAAAGATAAAGATGAGTACACAAATTATAACTAAAAATAACACACTCATTTTCCAAATGATTAGTTGATGATCTACCGATTCAATTCTCTCTTCAATTTTTTGATTTTTATTGACTTTTTATCTTCAAGAATATCTTCACTTTGTGATAGTTGATTTATATTTCTGCAATCAACCTCTTTGTGAGCCCATTGAAAGAAATTACATTTTTATTTGGGAACTTAGCACAGCCCCAATAATATATCTCTTTATTTTTTCCATTTGCACATAACTTCAAAGGTGTTGGAAGTTTGCATTTGCACTTCACTTCATATGAGTCAATTGCTTGTTTGCTATCACATTTTAGCTCCATTTTTATTACAGTAGCAAGGTTGCTCTGTTTCCTGCAACAAAAAAAAGGCTAAAATGAAGTGCATTGTATTGTGCAAATGTTGATACATTTATATATGATTGCAACTCCTATATATTAGTCGTTGTATCCCCTAGCCGTTTATATCTGTTGCCAATTTTATACAACCTATATTGGTAAGTCTACCACAGGTATGTTTATTCACACTTTTTTGGCTTCTTTCATATTCTATGGTTTTGAATCAAACACAAAAAAAGCTCAAGAAAATCTTTCTATGATGATGGTGTTTTTCACTTCAAAGGTGTTGGAAGTTTGCATTTGCACTTCACTTCATATGGGTCAATTGCTTGGTTGCTATCATATTTCAGCTCCATTTTTATTACAGTAGCAAGGTTGCTCTGTTTCCTGCAACAAAAAAAAGCTAAAATGAAGTGCATTGTATTGGGCAAATGTTGATACATTTATATATGATTGCAACTCCTATATATTAGTCGTTGCATCCCCTAGCCGTTTATATCTGTTGCCAATTTTATACATAGAGGGGTAAGTCTACCACATGTATGTTTATTCACACTTTTTTGGCTTCTTTGCTATTCTATGGTTTTGAATCAAGCACAAAAAAGCTTAAGAAAATATTTCTATAATGGTGTTTTTCTTATTCTTTGAAAATGAAATAAACATGAGTTTTGAATATGCTTTCCTATTATTTATTTTATCATGTCATATCAAACACAAGTTTTGAATTCCTTATAACCGAAGTGTTTCTTTTTATAGTGTTTTTTTTAAAACACTATACCATGGTGTTTATTTTTCAAACGTGTTTTCAAAACACCATTTATAGTTATTATTTATATAACGACTGGGCTGGCGCCGGGAAGGAGGCGGAGATGCAAAAAGGTGTGGCTGCGGGCTGGCGACGCGCGCGACCGGTAGAGAGCGGCTGGTGTTGAGTGGTGGGCCCGGGGGACGCGATGTGCGGGTGGTATGGCCCGGTCATGGCGACGAATGACCTGACCGGGCTCACGGGGTGGGCGAACGGAACACCGGAGCAGGCTGCGGTCTGCGCTGGTGGGCGACGCGGGCAGGGGCTAGCTGGCGGCATGGCGAACGGGTGGCGGCAGCGGGCTACGACGTGCGGCGATGTAGCGGCGGCGGCGGGCGGCAGACGGCGACGAGCAGGACAGGCGCGAGCGCGGCATTGGACGACCACGGGAACCGTCGGCAGACTGCGCAGGGGCGCGGTGGCTGGAGGCGGGTGCGGAAATGTCGTCTCAGCATTCGGCCCCCGGGCCGCCAGAGTCAAAACTTCGTCTGTCAGTGGAGGTTGGTGGCAACGGGCGGGCAAACGGTCGCGAGCCAGCAGTAGGGGGCGCGCGGCGGCGCGATGGGCGAGGGCAGCGGCTTAGATGGAAAACGGGCAGGGCGGCTGCCGGGCGGCGGACGACGATGGCAGCGGCGTGTTGCATGTCGGCAGGCGGCAGCGAGGCGACGACAGCGGCGGTTCGGTGCGCGGGCGGGTGCGGCGACGTGCCGGGCGGTACTATGGGCGAGCGGCGAGCGGACGTACGGAAGGTGGACGGCTTAGTATGAAAAATCAGAATCTCAAAACACCTTTTTGGTGTTTTAAGAAAAGCGTTTATTTTTTGGATTTTATAAAAGGTCAAGTTAAAAAATCGCCCCGGTTGCCAAACACGTTTCATTGTTAAAAAAAAAAAAATAAACATCATGGTTGCCAAACACTTCCTAGATATTCAAAACTTTTTAGGATTTGACTTTTTGATTTCCATACTTTTATGGAAATGAACCAAACAGCCCCTAAAGATCCCTTACTTATCTGAGAACCCTTCCCTGGAAAACCCCTCTACAAAGTCATAATTGGAAAAGGGGCTTTAGGCGTCAGAAGTCCGAGTCATGGAGGAGGAGGAGGAGGAGCAGCAGCAGCAGCATCGACATCAAATGGAAGCAGGAGGAGAAACCCACCACATACCAGTCGAGATCGTGAAGGAGATTCTCGATCGCCTCCCTCTTGAAACCCTAGACAGATTCAAGTGCGTATCCAAGCTCTGGTATTCCTTGATCAATCCCATCATCGACCAGCGTCTCCTCGAGGATTTCGACCCGAGGCTGCTGCAACTGAACAGCGCCCGGCAAAGGCTCAAGGCTCTTTCGGATGAGCTGAAGGGTTTGGTCAACGTCAACGCCGAGGAGCTCCGCCTGTCTCGCGTTGAAATAAAAGCCATGCTGGATGAGATGCTGAGCTTCTGGTCTATCGACGGCGATGTCGGTCGGGGCCTTCAAAGCTTGCCCAGGTTTCGCGAATCTGTGAGCGGGTTTCGTGACAATCTGGCTGCTGATGCTGATGAAATGTTGTGTGCTATGGATGCCTTGATCGAGGGTGGAGCCGGCGACGCGTTGCAGGACGCTTGATTTGGTAAAAAGTCTCATTTAGGTTCACAGGTGGCTTTTATGAGTGAGCGCTATTTGTTTGTTGAAATGTCTCTTAGACGGGGGAGGTTTATATGATTTTTGCATATCACACTGTGTAGCATAATTAGATGGCCAATAGATAGTATTTTATCGGCCCATAAATACAAGAATGTCATTAGTTAGACGATAGTAAGAGCATCTCCAACCCAAAAACCCAAAATGACGTAGTTTTTACATCAAGTTGGTGTAGTTTTTACACCAAATCACTATTCCATCTCCAACCATTACACCAAATTTTACACCAAAAAGAATATTCATTTTATTTACAAACTATAAAATGGGATATAGTTGGAATATTTGATTTGTTATAACAAACTATAAGGGCAAACTTGGGAAAAACCAAAATCTCCATATCTACAGTACTGTGCCAAATCTGGCGCAACACTGTAGCACCTCATCAAAATGGCGCTGAATTTGCAGTCCGGTTGGAGGAAGATTTGGCGCAGTTTTTACTCCATTTTGGGTTTTTAGAGTTGGGTTGGAGATGCTCTAAGGATATGCCTACATAGGGTACTCGTAGTTCCCATCGTTTATTCTACCGTGCTTTTCTTGGAAAGTTACAGGCTTAGACTGTGAGAAGAGCGAATGAAAATAGGGATAATGAGCAATAAATACTTTTTTTTCTAATGGTGGGGGGAACCAAGCTCCCTCAACAAAACTTGTCATGTAATAAGTTTTGTTGGATTAAATCTAATTATGGGCATATATGTTACATTAATGTATAATGCTATCTTTAAGGTCAACCCGCATAAAGTGATCGATTAAGTCAATTGGGTTAATGGGTATTTAAATATGTCATGGGCTAATTGTGCAGATACCGGAATGCAATTCTAATTTTATGAGGGGTTAAATTAGAAAATTGCAAATCTATATAAAAGGGTTATGGTCCCTAATCTAAAGGTTACGTTCTCTATTCTCTAATCCCCATCTGAAGAGAATTCTCAAGAGAAACCTTTCAGATTAGAAGATCAATCCTAATTCAGATCCAAGCAATGGATTTAGGTATTACTTCCGCTTTCTTATGATTCTTCTCTTTGGATTAATCACGAATTAAAGTTCCTACAAGTTTAGCTAGTTTGATCCCCTGTTCGAATGCGGATTCAATATTCAAAGGGGATGGGCTAAATTAGCCGTACTCTCTTTGATGTTTTGAATTTGGTTTCCAGTGTCTCCAACGAGGGCGTTTGAGGGGATTTGGCATTTAGACATTGCTGTAGTGTAAGCGAATGCGAGATTACGCAGTGGTAGATTCTCAAGAAACTCGGACACCCTTTTCAAGAGAGAGGCTTAATTTAGTTGCGCACTTTGATATCCCAAATTTCAGCCATTTTCAATTTTGATACTAAACTTTAAATTTGCCCATTTGACACCTCAATGTTTTTAAGCGGACACTAGCTAATGAAGTGATCCTAAAAATTTTGAGATACCTCAGTTATTATATATGTTCTTTCTCCTTCAATTAGTTGGAAGGATTTTTTTTATAGGTATTTAGTCCCTTAAATCTTCAATAAGTGCATATTAGTCCATCAAATCTTGGAAATTACATATTAGTCCCTCAAATCCTATAGGGTCTTGCAGAATAATCCTTCTAGTCAACACATGTTAGATTTGAGGGGGGTATCCTGTCAAATCTAATAGTTGGAGGCAAAGTGAGCATTTTACCCTCTATTATGTTCCCCAACTTATTTCTTAATGGGTTTAAATCTGATGCCCGCATAAAAAAACTCAAACCAACCTGAGTTCTTGCTCTCTAATGGTTAGGAAAGAACCCTTACCCAAAGTTGAGCTTCACGAGGGTTTGAAAGATTAGAGGTTTGAAAAATTAGAGAGGGGTAGTTTGGTAATTGAAGATGTTGGGTTAGGAGTCAACCCAACGTTGGTTAGGCTTTTTAACTAAAAAAACTATAAGAAAGACCATTTTGCAAGGTCCTATAGGATTTAAGGGACTACTATGTAGTTATTGAAGATGTAAAGGACTAATATCTAAAAACCCCTAGATAGAATTCTGGAAGCTCCTCCCCGCCGCAACCCCTTCTTCCACTCTCACTCTCTCTCTGTCTCTCCTCTGTTCGTAGTCTATTGGTTTTTGACAAGGAGACGAACCGAAATATCCTAATCTGTGAAAGCTAGACGACTTAAAATTAGAATCTCATTCACCTTAGGTAGTTGTTGTTATTTTGTATGAATTTGCGTTTCGTTGTATGTTACATATTGCGTGCACTAGTACTATTTCTTGACTCCAGGCCCTTCAAACAGCTCCAACTAGACCAAACGGAGAACGCCTATTGCTCGAGCAATATGCGCGAAGAAGTTAGAAGACAAAACTTCCACGAACTAAAACGGCGTTCTTCACCAATTTGGGTCCTGTTCAAGAGGGCTGTCGACGCAAGTCTTGCACTGAAGGAGCATCTCCTTGGTATTTTGTTTCTGGTATGTTTTGGGGTTTTGAATGTGGCACTGTAATTATTGTTAGAAAGCTGGTGGAACTGAACCATGGCCAGTTGTTTTATGCTAATTAATTATATATGGTGGAACTAAACCCTGTAACAAGTAATAGTGTCCGGGTGGCAATGTTTTAGGGGAGTTATGTGAGACACCCAAGTTCGGAGAGATTTTGTGCAAAATCTCTGGGTGATTAAGTGAAATTAAACCTCGAATATACGTATAGTTAGAAATATGTTTACCTAAAAAGAGTTTTTTTACATATAAACCTGAAAAAATCTATGTGTTTTTAATGTAATATTATAAATATTAGCTTTCCACTATTCAACTCCGATTTGAATTTGAAGCCGAATTTGGGTTCCCTTGATCTAAACGAATTTTTGCTTCCACCCCTATTTGCCGCCCATCTTCTTTCTTTGAGTCTGAGTGGGGTATTTTCAACATTTGTCTCTCCACCATTTCCCTTTTGGGAAAATTACTTGGAGGAACTCCAAAACCTTAAGCTATGCATCTTCCTTCCCAACCAAAAAACCAATGCTCCCCAGCCCTTATACCGAAACATCAGTGCAACTGCCCCTCAAACACGGTATAAACCCACTACCCAATAAAGCTATATCAAAATTACCCTTCCCATTTAAAAACCAAAAAAACCTGCTCTGAAATTCCCCCTTCTGAGCACAATTTTCCCAAGGGGAACCCTCTGCAACCAATTTTCAAAACCCTCTTCCTCTCAAGATCTCGCTCCTCTACTACTGCTGACAAGAACCCCTACAGCTTCACTTCGAATCGTCTTCGTCGACGGTCCAATTTTGGTATTTGCTCGTCCGCTCGTCCGCAAGCTCGTCGTCCGCCGACAAGGGCCCCGGTGACCGCAAACTCGTTGTCCGCTAGCTTCGACAAGTCCTTCTTCTTCACCAAACCCTCAGTTTGCTGAAAATACAGGATGGCGAATTCATCATCTGCATCGTCTGAGTCATCTGAATTAGCAACAACAAAGGCCGAGTTGTAAGTATAAACTGAATTATCTACATTTGGTCATTTATTTTGTTTGACATTATGAATTTATCCATTGTAGAACCCTAAGTAGATTTAGTTTCGGTTGTGTTGTGTTTTATAGTAAGGGTGATATCTGAATATGTTGTAATATTCATGGATATTGTGAATTCATGGATGGAATTGTTTCACGAATGAGGGTCGAAGATTGGAAGGCTTATGAATCCTCCAATTTCCAAAACTATATTAATTTTGGAGCAATTCCATCCAACAAAGCCACGATCATGCTATTGATAGATCATCTAGATTTGACCACTGGAAAGTTTTTTTTTTTCAAGGATAGCCAAACAAGGACAAAACAAGCCTACACATTTAATGTAAACTAGGGGCAAAAACATACCCGGTTCAAGGATGAAGGGGAGAAACCGGAAAGGAATCGCGATACTACAAGTCTGCAAATAGGATATGGAGTACATACATCAGTAACAAGCAACAAGAAAAATACAAGAGTGGCCGAGATTACCTTGAGGCCCTATTAGATAAACCGGTCCAGTCGAAAAAGAAATTGGATATTTCTGATTTTGTTACGCTTCAAATTATTTATCAACTCACAATGATATGGACTCTAACCGCTAGAATGAATGCATTGCGGCATATGTTCAAGTATATGACTCGGATAGATGTGGTTGATCATTTCCCATGGGCGACGACCATCTACAATAAATTGTGGGACTTTTTTAAGCTGCCAAAATAACTAAAAAGGGGTAGACATATCTTAGCGGCCACGCGCCCTTGCTATCGATATATTATCTGTATTATTTGTAATTAATATGTTGCATTTTCACCTTATTTGTGATCATTATCATTTACATGTGATATATCACATTAATATGTGACATTTGTGCCCCATATGTGATATTTGTCCCTGTTATGCATTATTTAATTGTGATATTTATAGTTAATATGTGATATTTTCCCCCTATATGTGATTATTGTCTTTTACATGTGATATATGATACCCATATGTGACATTTGTAGCCCATATGTGATATTTGTCCCAGATATGTATTGTTTAATTGTTATATTTGTAGTTAACATGTGACATTTGTATCTAGCTTCTAACCTCTGTCTTTTACATGTGACATTTGTATCTAATTTGTAATACCTCATTGATTGAATGTTGCTTTTTTGAAGCTATGGTACTATGAGATAACAAGCATCAAGGAGCTAGCCAGAGTCAATGATTCCAATTCATCAATGACAAACTAAACATTGGAAGGTAAGAAAGTGGGTTCATTGCGGACTGTAATGATTATGAAGAAATCTGAAGGCGCAATCCACATCTTACCGCATCAAGATATGTCGCGGTATGTCCATGAGGAGATCAAGCCAGATCCTAGAAAGATGAAGGCAAAAAGAGAGGAGGAAGTTGACTCCAAAAACTCTTTAAGAAAAAAAGAGTTAAAAAAGAGGAAATGAGTCAATCGACTGTTGCATTGGTGAGATAAATTTAATTCTTATGTGATTATTTATTTACATTTTGACTGTGGCAATAGTCTTTTATGTGATTATTATTTATTGCATGTGATTGTTATATGTTGGTTGTGATAATAAGTGTTACTCTGTAACTTTTATCTATTTTCTATGACATTTACGTGTAGACCATGATACATTGTTATCTGTGCCAATTGGTTATTCCTTGTAATATTTGCCAGTTTATTATGATAGATGTAGTCTTTATGTGTGACCTTCTTATATGTGATATTTGCTCACTAAAACTTAATTGTTAATTTAGACTGAAGCTTATGACAAGTTGTTAATGTTGAACAAAGCCTATGAGCAAGAACTTGTTACTCGCGGCGTTGATACGATGGCCATTAAGGCCGATATTGAGAAAAGATTTGCTGAATAGAAATAAGAAAGAGAAAAAGGATGAGGAGGTAATAACTTATTTCATGTTTCATGTGTCTCTGTAAAAGTTTCATTTATTTTTTTGACATTTATGTAGCCTCAAATCAAAAGAAAAGATGAGGCAGAGAAAGAAGATGATCAAGGCAAAGAAATGGAGGAAGTTAAGGATGATAGAGTAGACATGGGAATTGAAGTTGAGGAGGTAACACTTACGTAAATCCTGTGATAATTACTTACTTCTTGTGATGCTTACGTATTACCTGTGGCAATTACTTATACTTTGTGACAGTTAATAATTTCCTGTGATACATGCATGTTGCCTGTGATATATACATCTCTCATGTGATACTTCACTATTATTTGCGACAGTTGACTACATGTTGTGACATTTATACATCTCCTGTGACAATTACTTTACTTCTGTGACTTAAACAATTTGTTTGTGATATTTGCTCATTATTTGTGATACATGAATTTCACCTGTGACATTTGCTCATATACTATTTCTGTGATATATACTCATTAACTGTGATCTTTATACAGCCTGAAGAGGTGAAAGTAATTAAGGAAGTTACTAAAAAGAAAAGGGGAAGAAAAAGGAGGGAGGAAAGAGATAAAACGTTGAAAGAATTTATTCAAGGGCTACGGGCAAAGAGCCAGAGAACAACAAAGAAGCCTAAGTTTTTAGAATCTCCATTCCAAACAGTTATCCCTAAGAAAAGAAGTGAAGGGAAGAAAGTTGTCGTTGTGGTGAAAGATGACGAAGACAAGAGGGAGAAGGAAGAGGAGAAGGAATTTGCAATTTCATATACAAATATGAGAACATCTGTAGAAGAGTTATGGAAGGGGAAAAAACTGGAGAAGAAAAATATTATTGGGGATGTTGAATATGGGCATTCCTTCTCCGCAAGACTTTGATATCAGACTCCCGGGAGCTGTCAAAGAAGGATTTTATCATAATTTCATTATTCAGGACATTCTTGATTTATCGGATGATGAAAATAAGCGGCTTCAATATTTTCTAACGTTAAAAGTGTTAAAAGTGGACAAGTAAGTTTTAAGTAGTTATTTATGAATTTCATGTGAGATATTTTCATACAGTCTGTGATTGTTAGTGATTTCCTATGTCATTTACTTGTTTTTCTGTGATGTTTACATTTAGTATGCGATAGTTACTGGGTTTCTGTGACATTTACATTTACACCGTGATAGTTATTGTTGTTATGTGATGTTTAGTGTTTTCCTGTGATATTTACATTATTCTATGATAATTAATGGTTTTTGCGTGACTTGTAATCGTTTCCTTTGATATTTACATGTAGTCTGTGACAAAGAATGCTCTGTGATACATATATGTTTATTGTATTATGCATATTATGTAGAAAGAGGACTCTTTAAGAGGTTGACAACCAAATTATAAACAGATATGATATGCTTCATCTTCTACGAGGTGGAAAATTAAAGGACGAGGTTAGATTTTATTTTATTTGTAGTGTTATTCAAGTTTTTGATATTTACATGATTTATTGCATTTGCAATCATTAGACTGTTGAAGCACTAGTTGCAAGACTTCAAAAATAGCTCAAACTATCGGAAAATGCCAATCAGGAAAGAAAATTTGCTATGATTACATTATATTTTAGTGTGAGTAATATCAATCATAATACTTTTACAAGTTATATTGCATTTATATGTTATTTGGTTTTCTTCCCCTTATTTTCTTTTTTCTAAAGATTTGGTTGCTAACTGCTTTAAATTTGGTTATGAAAAATATCTATAAAAAGTATATAAAGAAGCATATAGATGATGGGAAGGATGTTCTGATAATTTTGATATATCACGTTGATCATTGGCATGTCCTTGAGGTTAATTTGAGGCAAACAAATACAAACATTATAGTTCCATTGGCCATAAGACATGGGCTGGAGACGTTTTGACAATCCAGATATTTTTAGATAGGATGGTAAGCAGATTCGACCAAGCGTCAACATTTAGAGCATTCGAATATGAAGTAGTTACTTATCGAACGCAAAAAGGCTCGTAAGTTTCTCTAAACAGCTTATACTTACTAGTTTATTAATTGCTATGATACTTGCTTATCTGTGATGCATAACCATTATTAGTGATACGTGCTTGCATTATGTGACATTTATGCATTATATGTAATATATACTTTTTATCAGTGAAATTTGTTGTTGTTATGTGACATATATTAGTTTTATGTGACATATGATGGTTTCATGTAACA